CAACTTTTTTACTCTCCTCTTTCACTTTCATCAAGAGGCTCTTTAGTTTTTCTTCACTTTTTGCCATAAGGGTGGTGTTATCTGCATATCTGAGGTTATTGGTATTTCTCCCAGCAATCTTGATTCCAGTTTGTGCTTCATCCAACCCAGCATTTGACATGATGTACTCTGCATATAAGTTAAATAACCAGGGTGATAATATACAGCCTTAACGTCCTCCTTTACTGATTTGGAACCAGTCGGTTTTTCCATGTCTGGTTCTAACTGTTACTTCTTGACCTGCATACAGATTTCTCAGGAGGCAGGTCAAGTGGTCTGGTATTCCCATCTCTTTCAGAATTTTCCACATTTTTTTTGTGATCCACACAGTCAAAGGCTTTGGTATAGTCAATAAAACAGAAACAGATGTTTCTCTGGAACTCTTGCTTTTACAATGATCCAGTGGATGTTGCAATTTGATCTCTGGTTCCTCTGCCTTTTCTAAATCCACCTTGAACATCTGGAAGTTCATGGTTCACATACTGTTGAAGACTGACTTGGAGAATTTTAAGCATTACTTTGCTAGCGTGTGAGATGAGTGCAATTGGGCAGTAGTTTGAGCATTCTTTGGCATTACCTTTCTTTGGACTTGGAATGAAAACTGACCTTTTCCAGTCCCGTGGCCACTCACTGCTGAGTTTTCCAAATTTGCTGGCATATTGAGTGCAGCACTTTCACGGCATCAACTTCTAGGATTTGAGATAGCTCAACTGGAATTCCATCACCTCCACTAGCTTTGTTCATAGTGATGTTTCCTAAGGCCCCCTTGCCTTCGCATTCCAGGATGTCTGACTCAACATGAGTGATCATGCCATTGTGATGATCTAGGTCATGAAGATCTTTTTTGTATAGTTCTTCTGTGTATTCTTGCCACCTCTTTTTAATATCTTCTGCTTCTGTTAGGTCCATACCATTTCTGTCCTTTATTGAACCCATCTTTGTGGGAAATCTTTATTTTACTCTCTTTTTTCATGCTTTGTTTTTTTTTTTATTGGAAATGTAATATTTAGTACCTTTGCTGTTGCTTCTTAGCTCTTCATAAGACATTTTGATGAGATATTTTAAGTGTAATTTTGTAATTTAAGACAGTAGAACATTTTGTTAGATGACATTTCAAGTGAAATATAATCTTGTGTTTTCCATAATAATTTCTTCTTGGTTCAAAGATAACATTGCAAAATATTTTTGTTCGAGAATGTTACATCAAAGAATTCTTGAAATTATTCCCTTGGTATTTATTCCCTTGAAAGTGAAATCAGAAATTGTTAGTCACTTGGTTGTGTCTGACTTTTTGCGACCTCATCAGGCTCCTTTTCCATGGGATTCTCCAGGCAAGAATCCTGGAGTGATTTCGAAGCCCTACTTGAGGCAATCTTTCCACCCCAGAGACTGAACTCAGGTCTCTTGCACTGCGGGTAGATTCTTTATTGCCTGAACCGGAGAAGGTCATTTATTCCCTTAGGGACATGTAACAGAGCATTTTATTAAAAATATAAGGATAAATACTCACCTCGATGGACATGAATTTGAGTAAACTCTGGGAGCTGGTGATGGATAGGGAGGCCTAGCGTGCTGCGATTCATGGGGTCGCAAAGAGTCGGACACGACTGAGCGACTGAACCGAACTGAACTGAACTGATGCCTATTTCAGTAGCTTACTGCATCAATGCATTAGGTAATGCAGGAAAGTTCCAACTCTTTGTTAATTACAAATAAGTTCAGGATACTGCAGGCCAGCTTTGGGGCCCCTTTGCATTTCTGCATGCTCATCCTCCATGTTGGATGTCCTTGACCTGGAATGGTGCCCACTCCCTTCCCATTCCCATCAATTCTTGGTCTAGCAAACAACCTGTTCACCCTTCAAATATAATTAGCCCTTTCTCAGGAAACAAAATACCCATTATTTTATCCTAATAATAATTTTAATTTCTTGATAAAACTTCTAATTTTGTAATCATACATTTATCAGTTTATTTTATTCATTTAGTCACTAAATTTATTGACTTTTTACTGTTTTGTGGTTCATCTGAGCACTAGTAAGTAAGATGGTGAAAGGACAGGCAGCCTCCGGCTCTCTTGGAGGTCACATTCCAATGGGCCGGCAGAACCAACCAGTAACTCTTCCAGTGACAGTGGCCATGTGGAGGTGATATGTGTTTCCATTATGTTTATAACAACGTGGTTTTGAAAGCTTCTGATGGCTTTTAATGAAATTGGGTTTGTAGTTCAATTCCGGAAAAGTCATCTTGTTCAGTTACTATTCAAAACATGCCTGTAAAGGTATAAAGGTATAACTTTATGATGGTAAAGAATCCACCTGCAATGCAGGAGACCTGGGTTCAATCCTTGGGTTTAGAAGATCCCCTGGAGGAGGGCATGTCAACCCACTCCTGTGTTCTTGCCTGGAGAATCTCCATGGACAGAGGAGCCAGGAGGGCTACAGTCCATGGGGTCACAAAGAGTCGGACACAACTGAGCGACTAAGCACAGCACATATATGAAAATTTTTATTCAATACACTATTTCAAAGGAATCTAAATCTGGTCTGTTACCTGAATTACAGCTTTAATTCATTTTTATTGGAGTACAGTTGTTTTACAATGTTGTTAGTTTCTACTATACAGGGAAGTGAATCAGCTATGTGTATACATATATCCCCTCTTTTATGGATTCCCTGCCCATTTAGGTCACTACAGGTTGAGTTCCTGAGCTATATGGTAGGTTCTCATTAGTTATCTATTTTATACACAGTATCAATAGCGTTTATGTGTCAATCCCAATCTCCCATTTCACTTCACACCTTCTCCTTTCCCCATTTGAAGTCCATACATTTATTTTGCACATCTGTGTCTCTATTTCTCATTTGCAAATAAGATTGAAAGGGTTAACAGGCAGGCAGGAGAGAGGTCCCCAGGCGGCAGGAGGAAATAATGTGGAAATGGCAGACTTTTTTTTCCCTTTTCTGTTGACAACATCTGGTTCTGCCTGAACTTAACTTCTCTCAAACCTCGAGCTGACCAATGCATTTTTCTTATGGAAGTGTTTTTCTTAAGCTATGTTGATGAAACTATGTATTTGCTTTGGAATCCGCCTTTCTTCAAATTGGTTCCACCTAAGACTAAATTTTTTTTCTTTTCTCAAACCTTGGACTGAAAATGGCTCAACAAACCGGTATTCATGTCATTTTATGGCCAGAGGATGACTCAGCTTGTGCCATTCTATCTCAAAAATGCATCTTGTGGGAGAGGGGCTGGTGAAACTCCCTCAGCCTGGAGGAGTCTCTTTTACCTGATCAGCAGCTTGTCAACAAACAAAAAACACCTGGCTAAAAACTCTTTCTGTCCCCTTCTGATGTCTGTCAGAAACTTTTCCTATCTCTTTATACTTTAAAAAAACTATGCTACACAAAAAGCTCTGAGTGGTCAAGCCCCGTCTCTGGCCCCGTATCATAGTCCTCTCCTCTGGAGGTCACAAATCCCGGCGTAGCACACGGCTCACAGCCACAACCTTTCAAGATCATCCATACTATCTTTCTAACACTCTTGAGAGACACTTGGACAACAAGGAACTCAAACCAGTCAATCCCAAAGGAAACCAACCCTGAATATTCATTGAAAGGACTGACGCTGAAGCTCCAATACTTTGGCCATCTGATGCGAAGAGCCAACTCATTGGATGGAAAAGACCCTGATGCTGGAAAGACTGAGGGCAGGAAGAGAAGAGGGAACAGAGGTTGAGATGGTTGGATGGCATCACTCTCTGTGGACATGAGGTTGAACAAATTCTGGGAGATAGGGAAGGACAGGGAAGCCTGGTGTGCTATAATCTATGGGGTTGCAAGGAGTCAGACAGGACTTAGGGACTGAACAGAAACATTCCATTTTCTAGACTCCACATGTGACTCAACGAGCATGAGTCTGAGTAAACTCTGGGAGTCAGTGATGGACAGGGAGGCCTGGCGTGCTGCAGTCCATGGGGTCGCAAAGAGTCGGACAAGACTGAGTGAGCGAACTGACTGACTGACTGACTGACTGACATGGGTAAATACATGATGTTTGGTCTTGCTGACTGACTCCACTCTGTGTGACTGTCTCTAGGTCCTTCCACACAGCGGTCTCATGACTAGACCAGTCTTCCTCCCGGACAGTACAGGGAGGGGGCGGGGATCAGCTCAGGCTACAGCAGCAGCAAGGATCCCAAGCTGTCTGATTATGTCAGGATTGCAATGGAGTCTTCCACAGGCTTGTTTTTTCTTTTTATTTGTTCTCAACCCTGAGCTATTTACAAATTGAAGTTACATGGCATGCATAATTAAGAGGTTGCTAATTCAAATAGGAGTTAGAATTTTAAGTTGAAAAACTGAACTCTTCTACTTAGCATTGCTAATGGACATTTCTCACTAGTAAGGCTGTTGGGTAAACTCAGGGCAAAGAGTTGTTTTCAGTGAGAGAAAGTGCCTTTCATCAGGACAGCACTGTGGATGCACGGGGCCCTGAAATTACAGCCCTGCTCCAGACCTCATACCTGAATCAGGGAAGGCACATAGAAAGTTCTGGGAGCTGAATTCCCAGAGAACTTTAAGGTTGTTTAGACTAGTGTGACAATTCTAACTTCATCACTTCTACATATTACAAGTTTTGTGTCTTAACTAACTTTTGGATCTTTTCACTTGAGCTATTATGTGTATCATTAATATATTTTGAAGGAGGTGTCTGGAAAGAATCAGTATGCAATCTTGTGTTCGGACTTTAGAAAAAGAATCTGAGTTGGAGATACGTTTATCTTCTCAGACTTTTACTTGAGCAAACACAAATTGGAGAAAGCTTGCCCATGGCTCTTTAAAAAGTTGGTTCATTTGTCATATGACCCAGCAATTAAAGTGACTGTGGTGCAGTTTACAGTTCTGACAGCTCCTGTAGCACTTCCTTGGTGCCTACCATCAAGCTGAGTCAAACAACCTTTCACAGGCACATTCTGTGCCCGTTTTCCTGAGGCACACACGTCCCTCTGCTGTTGGGGATCCAGCCAGGGTTAAGCATGTTATCTGGGCTCTGTCCGTGTAGACATTTTTGCAACTTCTTTGCAGTTCTTCTCAGAGCAGGAGGCAAAATAGTAAATGGTGACTCCTGTGGAATGTTGATGACTGGAATTCTGTAAATGACTGAGTCTTGCATCCAGCTAGCTGCTCCGTTCTTCTCAGCAGACGGCTGTGTTGACCTTTGACGTAACCTGTGAATCGCTCTAGGTGCTCCGTTCTTCTCAGCAGACGGCTGTGTTGACCTTTGACGTAACCTGTGAATCGCTTCCTGCTTCCAGAGCTCTTCCGACCCCACTCCCGCTCTGTGACGATTCTGTTGCTGACTCCACCTCATCGGCCTCTCTATCCACGTGACCGCTTCCTGAGCTCTGCCCACGGCCAGGGTTAGCAGGCTTTCGTCAGTCAGGGATGGCATGCTCGGTTCAACGAAGAAGGACAAAGTCTGGTATACAGGGAAGTCTGCCTTTCTTGGTCCCCCCAGGTAGCAGCAAATGACGGAACTCCCAAGTTGCCGTTTGTTCCCGTGCACTGCCTGTCGCCATCTTGTCTATGTTAATACCTATTAGGATAAAAGTACCATTATATGATCGTGCTAGGGTAGATAGTTTCAAGAACAGAAATTTCAGTCTTTTTCTTTTTTTTTTTAAACTCCATTACACCCAGTCAAAAATGACATGAATAATGGTAGACTTTTTCTTATGTGAACAGTTGTGATAATAGCACTCCAGTAGTATTTTACTTTGACACGTACACTTCTACATCTTGAAATATTACAGAGTAAAGCTCCTCAATTCTACCACTCCATAGTTTGGCTACTGAGTCTAAAAGTAGCCACTTTAGTCTAATAGTGTTTACTTTGCAGCAGAGTTTAGCCTAAGATGTAGTTGTCTTGAATACCAAAAAGGTGAAGGAAACTCAACATTTTACACATCACTGAATTGGAAGTAAGATTCCAAGAGTCTCTGCACAGTTCCACCTTGCCCTACCCTTCCAAACTAAAATTTGCGTAATCTCACCCCATTTACTTTCCCAAATAGCAGATTCAAAGTAGGAGTCGCATCCCTGACCACTGAACAGTGAGAGAGGAATACCTATACCCTTCTATCTACTGAAAATAGACGTCTGTAACTCAAGCCTGTCTGCATTAACAGCATCTCACTGACTGCATTGACTAGCTTATAATGTGGGCAGCTAATCACAGTGGCCATGCACTGGAACTGTGCAGCTTGACAGCTGCTGGGGTGGAGTCTTGTCTCTGCCACTGACCAGATGACCAGTGTTTGAAGATCTCTTAATCTCTTCTAATCTCATATCATCACTTATAACTTGGAGAATATAATACTGCATAACTTGGAAGTTGTTGAAAAGGTTATATGAGACAATGCATGTATAACCCTCAGTACAGTTAGCAGCACAAATCACTCAACATGTCAACTGTCGTTTAATCGCCCTTTTTATCATGCTTATCAACTAATCCTACATACTTGAGTAGTTTTTAAATACAAGCTATAATCACAATTGAAAAAATATTACACAAAATAAAAAAGGAAATCGTTTACCTTAAACAATGATTGTCTTCCTTAGTAACAAATATCTCAACAGCTAGCCTGTTTGCTTCAGTGCCTAAGACTCTATCTCAGTGATGTATACATATGCGGTCAATCACTCAGCCATGTCCAAGTCCTTGTAAACCTGTGTACTACAGCCCACAAGGCTCCCCTGTCTATGGAATTTTCTAGGCAAGAATACTTGAGTGAGTTGCCATTTCCTACTCCAGGGTATCTTCCCAACCCAGGGATCAAGCCCATGTCTCTTGCATCTCCTGCATTGGCAGGTGGATTCTTTACCACTGGCTGTCTTGGTGATGTGTTAATCCTTTTCTTTTCAGTTCTTATTCTCATCTCTCCCAACCTCAGAAGTAGCTAGTGATGAGCAGTTTGGGGGGAAAAAGAACTTCTCCTTAATTTTATCTCCACATTAACTCCCAAGTTATGTGAAATCATTTTCTGCTAGTGTTCTTACAAAGCATCCATGACTTCTAAGAGAGAAAACTTACTTCTATTTTACTAAACTCCTCTTAAACTTTGTTTTCTCCAAGTATCTTCTATTTGATTTTGGAAAAAGTCATCTCCAACGTTGTTTAGATGATTTAGAGGACACCATCAGGGTGTTTCTGAGGATGCAAAAATTATTCATGAATGGCATAAAATCCTTTAAAATAAGATGAGTAATTTTGCCAGGACCATTGTATATGTTCCATTTAGGTAATATTTCTCTTCACATTTGATTTCTTTTCAGATGTTTGAGTATCCCCCCTCCCAACTTTATTGATGAATAATTAGCAATGTAATTGTTCACATTAAAGTGTACAATTCGATATATTTTTAAAGAAGAGTAGAATTTACCCCTTCAAAATATGTGTTTTTGGTATAGTGATTATCTTAAAGAAAGAACAGGAGAAGCTCTGAAAAATGAATATGTTACCTTTGAAAGAAACAATTCCAAGTAGCAGTTACCCCACAACTCTTATCCAACATCTTTTGTCTTTAGCTGGAAATGTTACTTAAGATTGTAACTAAGCCATTTCAGGGAGTTATTCAGTTTTTCTGGGTATCTCCCACATATACAGGAGGTGTACATGCTATTAAAATTCTTTTTTTTTTTCCTCCTGTTTATCTTTTTTTATAGTGAGTGCCTCAGTCAAGAACCTAGTAGGATAGAGAGAAAATCATTCTCCTCAGTTGATACTTTGGGGCTCCCCTGGTGGCTCAGATGGTAAAGAATCTGCCTGCAATGCAGGAGACCTGGTTTTGATTCCTGGGTTGAGGAGATCCCTTAGAGAAGGGAATGACTATACACTCTAATAATAATATTTTCCTCATGGATATATATCACTGTAAGAACTCTTATGCTAGCTACCTTTTTCTTTCTTTCTCTTCCTCTTACCTCTCTCCTTCCCTTTATCCTTTCATTTTCTCTTTTCTACCCTATCTCCTTCCTTCCTTCTTTCTTTCTATGTGGCTAGTTCAAAAAATAGCAGCCAAATACTCCGTTGTTCTTCCTGCTGTTCCGTTGCTAAGTCATGTCCAACTCTGTGAACTCAGAGACTGCAGCACACCAGGCTTCCTGTCGTTCAATCTCTCCCAAAGTTTGCTCAGATTCGTGCCCATTGAGTCTGTGATGCCATAGTAACATAATAAACTGATTATTTTTAATGCTATTTTAAAATTCTTCCATCATTTACTTGAAACATGTCATTATTAGTCAAAATATATTTCATGCTTACTATTTTTTACATGAATTTTTCTTTACTTAAGGGCATTACTTAGGATTCTATTAGATAATCCCATAATTGTCACAAGCATTAACAATAGGTTAGCATAATACTTAGGGTGGGTATAACTAAAATCTCTAAGAGCAACTGTGCAATGCGAAGCACTGTTCTTATACGATTCTCTCAGATTTACCCTTTAGACTAAATAACTGCCTCCTCAGAGAAGCTGAGCTTCTAATGAAATATTTGCTAATGAAACATCTATGAGGAATCAATTCACCCTTTACTTAACCAACTACCTGAAAATAAGAATACCTGAAATTTTAATTATGAAAGAACTGATTATTGAAGACCAAATAAAAATCAATATGAAGAAAAGGTATTTTTCACTTTCCTTGTGGGTTGAAGCTAGTAGTAAGACTGTTAGTCACTCAGTCACATCCGGCTCTTTGCAACCCCATGGACTGTCAGTTCAGTTCAGTGGCTCAGTCCTATCCAACTCTTTGCGACCCCATGGACTGCAGCATTCCAGGCCTCCCTGTCCATCACCAACTCCCTAAGCTTGCTCAAACTCATGCCCATCGAGTTGGTGATGCCGTCCAACCACCTCATCCTCTTTCGTCCTCTTCTCCTCCCGCCTTCAATCTTTTCCAGCATCAGGGTCTTTTCAAATGAGTCAGCTCTTCACATCAGATGGCCAAAGTATTGGAATTTCAGCTTTAGTATCAGTCCTTCCAATGAATATTCAGGGCTGATTTCCTTTAGGATGGACTGATTGGATGTCCTTGCAGCCCAAGGGACTCTCAAGAGTCTTCTCCAACACCACAGTTCAAAAGCATCAATTCTTCAGCACTCAGCTTTCTTTATAGGCCAACTCTCACATCCACACATGACTACTGGAAAAACCATAGCTTTGACTAGAAGGAACTTTGTTGGCAAAGTAATGTCTCTGCTTTTTAATGTGCTGTCCAGGTTGGTCATAGCTTTTCTTCCAAGGAGCAATCATCTTTTAAAATTTCATGGCTGCAGTTACCATCTGCAGTGATTTTGGAGCCCAAGAAAGTAAAGTCTCTCACTATTTCCACTGTTCCCCCATCTACTTGCCATGAAGTGATGTGACTGGATGCCATGACCTTCGTTTTTTGAATGTTGAATTTTAAGCCAACTTTTGCATTCTCTTTCACTTTCATCAAGAGGCTTTTTAATTCTTCTTTGCTTTCTGCCATAAGGTTAGTGTCATCTGCATATCTGAGGTTATTGATATTTCTTCCAGCAATCTTGATTCCAGCTTGTGCTTCAACCAGCCCCGCATTTCACATGATGTACTCTGCATATAAGTTAAATAAGCAGAGTGACAATACAGAGCCTTGGACTATAGCCCACCAGGTTTCTCTGTCCATGGAATTCTCCAGGTAAGAGTACTGGAGTGGGTAGTCATTCCCTTCTCCAAGGGATCTTTCTGACTCACGGATTGAACCCAGATCTCTTGCATTGCAGGCAGATACTTTACTATCTGAGTAACCAGGGATTTCCATTTGTTGACCCTAGTAAGTGCTAAATCATTGTTGTACAGTTGAGATGGATAGAAAGCAGCTAGTTGTTCATCTGTCTACCATTCATAATTATCATCCTCACTGGCATTATTTTAGTTAACCAAACTATAAAAAGAAAAAACTTGATATCTAAGTGCATTCAGCATACACTTGGTTTCTGAGGTCTGCAAAATCTAAAATATCTTTAACATTTGGGGGCAATTTTGAGATTAAAACAACATTCGTATACTAGTCCTAATTACCTGCTTTGAGTCCAAATTCTGAGCCCTAGAAAAATATAATATAGCCAATTAAATATGCAAAATTTTCAGAGTTAAAATTGAGTTTGAGAGAGGAAAAGAAAATGAGAGAAGAAAAAATAATCTTTCTTGAATTAGAAAATAGGTATTAACGTTGTTACATTGAGGATAAAACACTGAGCATTGCCTGTAATTAGTAAGAGCCACTTAGAGTAATACTGGTTTGAGTCCAATAGAATTTGGTTTAAATTATCATGAATGAGTTTAAAAGCTTTTATGTACAAAATTTTTCATGTAATTTTGTCCATGTGAAAACCTCCAATAGATAATTATGTGAATGTTTAAATCT